CATTTATTTGATTTTGTTTGTTATCATTTAGAGGCGGAATAAGTTATTGCCCCGGGGAGTCGATGTTTTTTCCGCCTCTATTTTTATGTTTTTTGAGCTTATCTTGCTTCGGGAAACTTTGTGTGGGAAAATTAGGTCAAGGCTTTTAGGAATGTTTCCGGCCGCGCAACTGCTTACGAATGAGCCTGGGGATGCGGTTCAAGAGTCGCGCTTTTAAGCAGCCTCATGTATTTCATGTGGGCTGTGGGTGTTCGATCTTTTTACCGGTTTCAGGAATTTGGTTATAGTGTTTGGGTTTTCTAATTTTGTGTTTTTTTTTGGCTCATGCACTGTGAATATACCTTCATTCGGTGTCTAATGTGTTTCTTTTTTTTTGGGCGAGCGAGACTGAGAATTGTTGGTCTGGTGTTTCTCTGTGGTTGCGTGTGCCAGCATATCTCATATATTCCATCTGTTCATTAGGTAAGTCTCTAAGTCTCTAGCCCTTCCCTTTCATGCGCTTTCCACTAAATTCTTTGTTGTAGTATTATGGCAAATTGGATAATAGCTCCATCGGTTTGATGTGTGTCTGAGTTTTAATGTGGTCTCCTTGCATTTTTTTATATTTTTTTGGATATTATCGCCATTTCTAATTAAGGTTGGTCTGTGGATTTTGAATTTCTTTGCTGCCAGCAATTCATAGTAACTTAAGTTGAGTTATCTCTTTGGCTTCTATAATAGATTTTGACTACCCCTCGTTAAATTATTTTTGCATTTGGCTCATGTACCAATCATATTATGCACACATTATGAACCATATAGGTATAGTTTCTGACTGCTAAATTACTGGATGGGCAATGTATATAGTCACAATCGATTTATGGATATTCTTTCATCTCTCTCTTGCTTTACATACGGAATGGAATTCATCTGAAGTACACTGAACTCTTGGGTGCCCTGAGGAAGAACACCAATACACTGTAGATGTTTTTGTACTTTTCACTAATCTTTTTTTTTTTTTTAGTGATATGGCCTTTGTGCAGATAAAAAAAGTTGAACTCATATGTAGCTTTGAGAAAGACGTAAGTTCTTTTTTATAGTTTGTCTACATTTTGCTGCCCAGGTGCTTTTAATTTTGAAGAATTAAGCAGCGGCCTGGAAAATGGTCTAATTTTGAATTGAGAATGAGCTTAATTAGGAAATTTATTGTGTTTTCTTTTCTTCCTTTTTTTTTTGTTTTTGTTTTTGTTTTTTGTCGGGACTAATGAAGTTATTATGATTGGTAATGGCTTGCTCAATTGTTATCGTTAAGTGGTTCAGTGAGTGAGTGATTTGGTTTATGGGAAATAAATGTTGTAGCTTCATTAAATCAACATTTGAAGAACACCTGGTGCTTAATATGTGCATAAAGTTACATTCTTTTGGTCCTAATGGGATTGAGTTTTGCATTGACATGGTTCTCATGTTAATGTGTTACTTGTTAGTCACCATTATACATGTTTGAGTTTGAGTCGTAAGTCATTGAGATGTTAAGGATACTGGATTGAGTATGTGAAACATGCTTGCTCTTAGTAGGACTTAGACTAGACGCCATTTCAGCATTGGATTTACTGAACCACTATTCTAGGAAACATCCTCGGGGTAACAATTTCATCTGTCATATTAAATACAAGTGTTGAAATGATGCATGAGGTAGAAGTATCAAAAAATTTACAATCCTTTGTCTACAATTCAGGTAAAACAGTAGTTAAAAAAATAAATTAGAACGATAATTTAAAAGTACATCCAAATTAAAATTTATTATAGATTAAACTTGAGTTGGTGCAACACCTACACATTAAGCAACCGACACAATACATGCTTTAAATTGACTAAATTTGAGTAGGTTGTGTTCATTTCTTTATATTTATACTTTCCAAAAAAAAAGGGTATGTGTATTTTTAAATATCGACAAATATTAGTTGTAATTATAGAAACATTATTTTCAAAATAACTTATAAAAAATGTGTGATAATATATTAGATTAATTGTTGAATGATTGTTCTGCAACATAAACTTCTATCCTCTCCAAAAATCTTCTCCCTCATATCTAAAAAAAAAAAAATCCGAAAGCCACAGAACACGACGGCGACAAGGTTACGACCGGTGCAAGGAGCACCTGCGACGGCTATCAAGCAACAAAAATGGTAAAAACTCTGCAAGAATTTATTTCGGTTACTCCACGAAACACTGGCAGGAAAGCAAAAAATTGAAAGCAAAAAGACACTGTTTCATGTTAATCGATATATCGTGCAGACTAGGAAAACAAAAAATTGAAAGCAAAAAGACATTGTTTCATGTTAATCGATATATGGGGCAGACTAAGAAAGCAAAAAATATGTAGCGGTTTTTCCGTTATGATATTTCGTCAGAAGCAGTTAATTTGTGTAAGACATAATACCCTTCCATTTTCTTTAATGTTCATTTGATTCTTCCTTTTATCTTTGTTGGTTTTTACTAAGTCAATACAAATGGTGTTCATACGTGCCTTGAGTTTTCTCATGATTTCATTAAGATGCACAACGAGTCCACATAAGCCATAATCGCTGCATATGTTGCCTTCATGTTTAGGTGCTTTGTTTTCTACCAGTCACAAAAGCTTATCTTGTTGTTTATCAGGGCTTCAGATTGAAGCAGTAGATCTAATATCAGTAGATATAAGCTCATTTAAATTCTGATTGTGGGCTAATTTTAACTTAATGAAATTGGGTTTAAGCGGTAGATCCAAGATCAGTAGATTTAAAGGAATTTGCATCCTACACGTTACTTCCAACTTTTTATTACATAAATTATGCCATCTTATAAATATTAGCAAATTGACTAGATCTATAGATTTTATTTGCAAAAATACCACATATCAAGGAAACAAATAATTGAATTTTGCGTGATTAAAGGTGAAATCTTATAACCTTCTAATAACTGCTTCCGATGCAATTGGTAAGAAAATAACCTCTCTCCCTCTCTCATTTTTTTTTTTCTTCGACCACGGACCACGACTTCTACTTCTCTTCTCCATCTTCTCTCTATTTTCCCCTTTTCTTCTTCTCCTACTCTCTCTTTTTCATCTACAAGTTTAATGACGAGATTTTTTTTTATTCGCGGCTCCTCAAAAATCCGTTGCCGGAGAGAAATACGCGGCTTTGCCAAGCTTTCATCACCGGCAGCTTTTCGAGTACGATGATGGTGTACGAGCTACGATTTTTGACAATGGGATAGATTCCGATGGTGAAATCCATCTCCTTCTCCCTGTCGCAAAATGGTCAGCCGACCGAAGCGACGCCACCGAGATACGCCCGTCGCCGTCAAGGAGGGGAAGAACTGACGTCGTCGAATGAGCTTGCGAGTGCAGAGAATAGGGTCATGGCTGCGATTTTGGCTCCTGCTCTTGGTCCTGAAATGAGAAACGATTGAACATCGAGAGTATATTTTATGTATATTTTATGTATATGTGTGTCTTGATCTGTCACTGGTTTGAATTTCGAGAATCTCGAATGTATATCTTATGTATATTTTATGTATATGTGAGTTCTGAAATCGTTTTTGAGAAACGATTGAAACTTTAGTGTATATTTAAAGTATATTTTATGTAACATTGTTCTGGTATATGTCGGGTATATATGAAACATTGTTCTGGTATATGTCGAGTATATATGTAGGGTTACATGTCTGGTTACATAACATTGTTCTGTTCTGGTATATTTTTGGTATATATGTAGGGTTATATGTCTGGTTACATAACATTGTATTGTTATTGTTACAACATGCAGAATCAAAAAAGGATTTTTTTTATAACATGCTAAATTCACGGGGGAGAGAGAGAAGATGCTTAGGCATCAATATAATTACTTTTTATCTTTTAGGTATATACATAAATTTATTGGTTTCAATTGTAAAATTGCAATTACTTAAAAATCAATAAGTATACATGAAAATTTTCCGTAGATTTAAGATCATTTAAATTCTGATTGTGAGCTAATTTTAACTTAGTTTTCATGTATTGTGTTAATTTGTAGATTGTAAAAGTTAAAGTAGGTAATTTTGAAAATTTTATGCTTCGTATTGGTTAACATAAGAAAACCAATCAAAAAAATATTGTTTAAAAATATCTAATAAAAATTTAATTTACCATTAATATGTAAATTTGTCAAATATTGTGTGCAACAAGAAGACATAGAAATTAATTGAAAGTTAATTAAGTAATAAGATTATTATATGAAATAAAAGAAACATAAATCAGACGATAAAAATACTACAAATAAAATGAGTCAAAAGAGTGGTAAAAAAATTGTTGAAAAAAAAAATATTTGTGAAAAATATTTTGAACAAACAAAAAATAAAATATAATAATTAAAGTTGATGCGATAAAAAAACTAATTTAATAAATATAAATATTTTGTTGTAAAAAATATGTGTGGAAAATTTAATTGAAAATAAATAGTGGCATTTTGGTTGTTCGATAAAATGTGGGTAAGTGTGTTTTAAAAATTTTACAAATACTAGATAAAATGATAGACTGGACTAGGACCGGCTGTGCGTGCACAGCCGGGTCCAATCTAGTATATATATAATTTGTTGGGTTTGCATGTCTCATTGGATGTTAGAGGACCAATGATTAATGTGATCACGAGGCACCTACTTCCCATTCCACCTACCTAAATTCATTGAATGTAGAAGCATATATATGTAGGCTTTCTCAGCTATTCTACAAAAAAAACTTTTGTTAAAATTAATAAATTGAATTTAAATCATGTTCAAATAAAGTTTGTTAATTAACTAACTTAATTTGTTTCCCATGTTATTTTCAGTTTCCCAATACAATATTATGGTAGACAAATTTTTACCTACAAATTGCAATTTAAAATTATCAACTTCAATTGCAAAAATCTTATTAGATCTTTATTTAAACAAAAAAACATAATTATTTGACAAATATAATTCGCTATCTTGCAAATACAAACACATCCATCGAGCTCTCGAACCGTCTATAGATTTCTAAGCTGCTCTTCAAAGTTTGCGGCAAACGCCTCCAAAACCTTTTCGGGCCTGGACAGGCCGATTTCGAGCCCGCCCTCGAAGTCTCTCGACTTGCACATCGACATGGACGTGTCCGCGTCTATGGACGGTGACTCGAACTTTCTCGGTCGGCCCCACCCAAAGTCCACCTCGTACAAGTCAAACCTCGGCGACCCGGCCACCCCGAACAGCCGTTTTCCGATCAACTTTCCGTATCCCGCCGGCCAACCCTCCGCCCCGTCCAATATCCCCTTCTCATTGTACACCGTCCGTTGCACGGCGGATCCGATAGCCTCGGCCGCGTGGGCCAAGCCCTCGACTCCTCCGGCCCGGAGAAGCCCGTGACTGGACTCCGCCTTCACGAATGCGAGGCAATTACCGAAGTAGGCCGCCGGCAGGGGTGGGTTCAGACGGGATCTGCAGTCAGCCGGAAAGCCCATGTATTCCGGTTCTTCGTCGGCCGCCGCCGGCGGCGGCGGGTCGGCCCGGACGAGGCAAGACCAGGCGAGGGCGCAGGCGACGCTGAATGTACTGACGTGCCGCGCGGTGGGGAGCTGAGCGAGGACTGCTGCCTTCAGCCGCCGGACGTCGTCGCCGGTGAGGATGAAAGTCCGCCGGAGCTTGTGGAGGGGGAAGGTGAGCGGCGGGGACTCCACGGCTCTGGACGTACGGATCAGGTCCCAGTAGATCCGGTCGAGGCCCTCCGGGTCGGCGACGGCGGATCTGTCGTAGTACGGAGTCAGCTCGGCGGCGCTGGCGGAGTTGGTGGCAGCCCAGGATTTTATGAACCGGACAATGGAGCTGGCGTCGCCAGCGGCGTGGTGGTTGGTGATGCCGAGGCAGAGGCCGCGGCCGGGGAATAGGGTGACCTGCAGGGCGAGGGCCGGGATGACGACCTCGTTTTCCGATCTGGTCGCCGAAGGGAGCACCGGGACAAAGGGGTAGAACTCGTCGGAGAGGCGGGGGTGGTCACCGGTGAGGTGGTCGAAGTCGGAGGAGCACTCGGAGACGGTGAGGGGGACGGAGTCGCCGGGAGAAAAGCGGATGGAGGGACGGCCGGCGTCGTCTAGGGGGTGAACGATTTTGCCTGCGAGGGGGAGGAAGCGACCAAGGGTGTGGGCGAGGGAGCGGCGGAGGTCGGGGACGAGGGATTGGAGGAAACGGGTCTTGGAGCAGGGGAAGTCGAAGAAGAGGAGGCGCTGGACCCGGTGGAAGTGAAGCCAAATTATGTCGAAGTGGACGAGGGGAAGGGTCATCTCCGTTGCCGGCGCGATTTCCGGCGATGGGTGGACTTCGAAGATGTCGAGGACGGTGGCGGGCGCCGGGGACTCTGCCATCTCTGTTTCTTTCTTTTTCTTTTTTTTTTTGGTTTCGACCAATTTGCGTTTGCCTCTGTTCTGTATACGATTGGTTTCTTTATTTATAATAATGTTTGACGGGAAATTTTAATTTATTCTTTTCAAAAAAGAATGATGATTTAGATGATTGATTTCTTGGAAATTTCGTAGTTGGATCACTCGGGTGGTGTTTGGTGGAATTCACGACAAGTTGACAAAAACATTATATATATATATATATATTTTATACACTTTATGCAAATTGGTGGAGGAATCAAATTGTACTGGACAAAATAATAAAAATAAAAATTTAATAAAATAATTAATACATATTTTTTTTTGGTACAATAAAGAGAGGCCAAGACATAAAAGCTAGATATTAAAACATTTTGTGGGTATGCAATCCCGAGGATATCATGATGTATCAGTTGTCGAGCTTAGTAATAATTAATTATTAGTTTTAGAAGTATATTTTTTTTTTTCGATGCAATTTTAAAAGCATATTGAAAATATGTTACCAGTTTATGTGATTGAACATGAGCGACTTCGTCAACAATGTCAAGTGATTATTAATATAATTATTAATATTTATATCATATGAAGCTAAAAAACGGTATTTTTAGTTTCTGATAGAGTTCTTAATTACATACATATTTAAACAAACTCAATCTTAATCACATATCTTAAGCTCCACTCTATTTGATAAAAGTACAAACTCCCAAGTCCTAACCATCATTAATATGCTATTTTTGAAACATTAAGAAGCAAGAAAAAATATGTTTGACCATCAATTTTAACCAATTAATTCGAAAACTTGTAGTAACCGGGTTTTGTTTGATCCTCACAATTCACAAACATCCGAATATCCGATCAAGAACCGGTAAAAATTAGGTAGAACCAATAATCATTTATTTAATTTTATTACATAAAACAATGCATTTGTTGATTTGACTACAACATAGCTGCTATTGGGTGTCAGTGTGCAAATACTTAGATGTGCCAGGACAATAATAAAATGAACATCTTATAATAAAAATGAACATGTTCATTTTTATTATGTAACATGTAATGATAAAATGAACATGTTTCATAATAAAATAAACATGTTCATTACATGTTACATAATAAAATGAACATGTTCATTTAAAATGAACATGTTCATTTTATTA